GGCACAAAGTTCGTGACTTGCCGCGGTAAGAAGATTCTCTAATGCGACTCGTCAACTCTCCTCAAGGTCTGCAAGCAGACTGCATTCCGTTCCTTTGGCTTTTTGTGCAAGACTGCAAGGTTGGCATAATTTCCAACCCAGCTTCTGAACGGAGTGGAGGCAATCTGAACGGGTCCCTGCACCGGGGATCAGGGGGAGAGGGGCTTGTGCGGGGGCTGCTCAGCTACAGGAGGTTGCCGTTGGGGAGGACCTCCCACCTCGGAGTCGACGGAGCAATCGCTGCGACAGCTCCAAGATGGATCAGCCTCTTGAATTCAGGGATTGCGAAATACCGCCAATCATCCCAGATGGATCGTGAAAGAAGAAAAAAGGGGGGGGCTGAGCGATCGAGCAGAGGGCGTTGAAGCTCTATTGACTGCAATTTGGTGCATGATCGGCATGATTTTCAACCAGTTCCTGAAGGGGGAGGGGGTGGAGGAGGGTCCGGCGACGTTTTTTCGGGGGTCGGTTGTGGAGGACATTTCGGAGGAAGGGGGAAGAGGGCTGGGAAATGTGTGAAGGAAAACTCGGGAAACCGGAAAGGATAGACTTCTGACACGGTTGCCACATGGACCACTGAGGGCCAGGCAAAATAAAACAAAAACAATACCTTCAGAAGTTGTTAGAATCTTCTTAGGAAAATGCTCACTACAGGGATCGAACCTGTGACCTTGGCGTTGCTGATATTAGCACCACGCTCTGACCAACTGAGCTAAGCGAGCTTGTCAGTGGGGGAGTCGGGTAACGAATTTATTAAGCAAAGTTTCCAGAAACAAAACCAATCATCCAAAGTGATCAGATGAGCAAGTATTCGCTGAGGACGCCATTCAAGCTGGACACTGGGTGGTGGGGTTGGGGGGAACGGAGTGGAGACGACACCGCACGCACACAATTGGCAAATGCACCGTTTTTGCCCCGCTTTTTGGCCCCACCTCGTGAAGGTCCTCCCTCAACCATGGTTATTCTTTTCGATTCGATTTCTGCAAGGTCTTCGGTGGACGAATAGCTGGGTAGATTTGGAACGCAGCCCTGATGGGTTCGACGGACATCAGATGTTGAGGACGTGCTTCGGAAGAGATGATTGGCGGGTTGCGGTGAGCGGTGAGCGGTGAAGGGATGGCTGTTGGGTGGTGGACGGCTCAAAATTGGCTCCCCCCCACCCCCCACCCCCACCACCCCCTCTGACGGGAACCTTTGACCTCCTACAGCGCAGGTGTCCTGCCTGTTCAACGATGCCCCTATGCTGTCAATACTCAGTCTCTTGCAAATCATAACATGACAGAACAGAGACACCACCGACCGTTTAGTCATTCAGCCCCTCCACCCGCCTGCCCTGCCGCCGCAAAAGCCAGCTCCTCGATCCGCGCATCCAGCTCCTTCCCGCGCTTGACGACCTCCGCAAGCGCTGCCCGCATCGACCTAATGGTCACATCCCGCTCTTTGATCATCTCTTCACCTTGTGCCACCGACCCCACTTGCGACTCTGACGGTGGCAAGGCCGGAGATGCCCCCGGCGAGGTAGGGGCGAGTGGTGAGCCCGGCGCTCCCTGAAGAGAGCGAATCGTAGCTTCCTTACCAGCAATGTGCCCTCTCTGCACGGCGATCGCATCGTGCAGATGTCGAATGGTGTTAGCGCGCGCACGCAGGATGCGCTGAACGCGTTCGAGAGCGAGCACAGATGCCGGTTTCGCAAGTGCCGGTGCAGCGACGGGAGGCGCGGTTGCGGCGACAGGTGGGGCTCCATCGCGATACACGCCGATCCTGGCCCTCCTCACCGCATCGCGCGCCGAATTTTCAATATGCGCGAACCTCACAGGCCCGAGCATCTCCCCGCCCCACCACCGGGACACGACCGCGCACCCGTCCACGACACCCTCCTCCTCCAGCACCCGCAGCACCCGCGCCCCAGCCCACCTCTCCCCGTCGTCGTCGCTCCCGGATTCGAGAACGAAATCCCCCGGCCCGCCTTCCCCCGTCCGCCCCGGTCGCAGCTTGAGGTATCGCCAGGCGGACACGTTGTGCGCGGGTGGCGCGAGCGGGACCGGCGCTGAGCCTGATGGTCGCGAGGCGTGCGTTTGTGGGGGTGGGCCGCGCGATACGCTGGCCGTTACGCGGGTGATGAACGTTAGCGCTGCTTCGCGGTCGCGGGCTGCGCCTGCATGGCCTGTATTGTGAGGGGGGGAGGGGCTGGTCACCGCTGGCCCGGGGAGGGGGGAACTGAACGGGTTGTCACGGGTGGGTGGGGTCGAACGACGATTGGGGCGCGATGTCCCTGCCCTCCTCTCGTTCCTTCCGTACCTAGGAAAAGTGAATTCCGCTCATAGATGAGTGATGAGGGGATCAGCGGGGCGGGAGGGGGTCGCGGGGCAGCGCCAGGTGCGGATGCGCCCCATGCTTGCTGCAAAGTTGTCTGAACCCGAGGGCGTGAGGCCGCCCGCGTTGGCGAGGGTGTTCGTTTCCGCTTCCCCGAGATGTCGTTGGGCATGTGAGTGTATTTTTGGGAGTGTTAGCGTCCCTTGACGGCGGGAAACCCAAACGGAGTGGGCTTGGTATTGGGGGTTGTGGTCTGTTCGTGGCCAACCGACGTGCCCTCGCCTCGTTGTCAACCTCGCCGTCAAGGGCTAGAATTCGAGTTGGGACTTATTGTCGCTCCCGATTCCTTCTCATCACCGTCTCATTCTCACTGTATCCGGTCGGGCAGCGAGGCCCCCGACGACCACACATTTCCGAATACATTGGGAAACCGACGCCGAAACGACCTTGACAACCCGGGTGTCGCATGTTTCAGCTCACAACGTTCCATGCTGGTTGCGACCACCAGCTTCGCAGCAAGAAAGCCGCCAGACCCCCGCAAAGTAACTTGCAAAGAAAGCATGTATCATCAATCTGCGACCAGCCTCACTCAAACCGATCCTCCAACCCCGCAAACATCTCCCTGACCCTCTCCACCCCAAATACCCCAACAACTCTCCCATCCCTCCCGCGCACACTCACAGTCCCATCCGCCACCTCCCTCTCACCCACAATCAGCATAAAATTATACTGCGCCTCCTGCGCGTCGCGGATGCGTTTAGGCAGCGACCGGTCCGACGCATCGAGGTCGACATAAAACGTGCGGGGCCGCCCACCTCCCACATCCGCAGCAGCATCAACAGCAGTGGCCGTCTCCCCCCCAAGCTCCCTCCAAACGCGCTCCGCATACGGTGCCCATTGGTGGTCAACAGGACAGACGACGGCCTGGCGGGGGGAGATCCAAAACGGCCACCGTCCGGCCCAATGCTCGATGAGGACTGCCATGATGCGTTCGACGCTGCCGAGGGCGGCGCGGTGGATGATGACGGGGGTTTTGCGTTGGGCGTCGGCGTCGACGTATTCAAGATTGAAGCGCTGCGGGAGTTGGAAGTCGAGCTGGACGGTTGCGGTTTGGTGGGTGCGGCCCATGGCGTCTTTGACGAGGACGTCGATTTTGGGGCCGTAGAAGGCGCCGCCGCCTGCGTCGGTCGTCCAGGATCGACCTGTTGCATCCAGCGCGGTGCGGAGCGCGGATTCGGCTTCGTCCCAGGTTAGGGGGGAGCCGATGAAGGACGTTGGGCGGGTGGAGAGTACGAGGTCGTAGGAGGGGAAGCCGAGAGTGCTGTAGACGGAGTCGATGAAGCGGAGGGTCGAGTGGATCTCGGTGGAGATTTGGGAGGGTGTGCAGAAGATGTGGGCGTCGTCTTGGTGGAACTTGCGGACACGGGTAAGGCCAGTCAGTGCGCCTGAGGCTTCGTTTCTAGGGAAGGGTGGGGGGGG